TCAACTCGGTCTTTCGCGCTGTGCGGCCTTTGCATTTTTACCATTACCCCATGCCACATTCACATTTCTGTAGCACCCCAATTACACCCTGCATTTTAATTACGTGTCATCGCTCGATGTCCTCCCCTTTCTTTTAATTTCCAAAACTGAACACCATTCTGTCTTTGCACTTCCTTCCTTTACCTGTAGCCAGTTTTTCACATAAAGGCCCTTGCTCCTTTTCAGATGAAATCTGTTTGGGCTCTTGATTGCAGCCTTCTGCTGACTTAAGCTAAGGGGTACTTTTACTTCCCTTTGCTTTTTTGTTTGTTTGTTTTGAAACCTCATTGACATGCAGATATACCTGGGGAGGGGGGGCAGACTCATTTGTACTTATTTACATCTGGAGTTACTGAACAGCCACAAGCAAGGATATTCCATAGATGTGCATGTATGTACCCTTATCGTATGGCACAGAATACATGTCTCGACTCTCAAGCAGAAAGACAGTCCCTTATGATGTGAAGTCGTAATGTAAATAATTTTTTTATGAAGAGAGTTCTTAATTGCCTTGCATTTCTGAATGGCTGGGACAGCTTGCTGTGAAGACAGTCATCAACCACTGGGAAGGAAACGTTTTTTGCAATCCCACCTAGGTGAGACACATTGCCTGGTGCATCAGCCTCCTAGCAGCGTTTCAATATTTAGACTTACATGGCAGTACATGTGAAGTCAGTGTAGTGTCCTCCTCTGCCTGAAAGAAACAACTGGACCAAAGGGAGTATTGTGGAAATGTGGCTAAATATTTGCCGGCTGCTTTTTATAAGAGAAGGAGGGAGAGGGAGTATCATCAGGAGGTGAAGAAAACAGCCTTAGAATCCTCTAGTTAACTACAGCATCAAAAGAGACTTTCAACACATTTTTGACAGCTAATCATCTGATGCAGGAGATGAGTAGGTTCCCTGAAATGTACCTAGAGAAGGTTTGGCTCTTGTATTCACAGTTTACAGAGCTGCAAAAGTTTGACTGCAGCAGAAGGATAACTGGTACACTGCACCAAGAGAGAAATACAGAGGAAAAAATAAAAACAAACCCCAAGCATCAGCTGTCGACGTTAACTAATTCTCTCCTTATTCCAAACTGGAAACTAACCAAAAGAAGGTAGACGCACAAGGGAACAACCAATATTTTATAGCAATCAAACTTAATAAACTCTAAGTCAAGTGCGACAGAATACACCGTTAAGGTCACCGGACACGAGGCTGAAGCATACCAGCAGTTAAATCCTCTCCTTCCGCCTCCCCAGCTTTAAGGATGACAGATTTTTAACTCGGCACAGCAGAAAATGTAGCTCAAGGTTACGGAAGCCCCAGAGCCCGCAGAAGCAAACCTCCCAGCACACCGCCTGCCGCCCCTCTGCAGGCAGGGCCAGCCCCGGGAGGAGGGGAGGAGGAAGAGCCCGTGCCATCGTGCGGCTAGTTTAGCAGAGCGCAAAACAAAAATCACAACCAGGCTTGCTGTGAGGCAAAAGTGACGTGGTTCAGCAATCAGAACACGGTATCAGATGAACTCTGAGGTTGGGACAAATCATGAAATAATCTAATCTAACCTCCTGTATAACATGCAAGGCCATAAAATTTCATTCTGACCAGAGAACACCACCGTTACCAATTCTGGGCCTCATCACTTGATGGGATTGTAAACAACCTTCCTCAGAGTAATTCCATATGAAGGACAGTCACCTCCAACAGCTCTTGAACATCCTCCGATTTCATTTATACCATCTTAGGTCTACCTAATTTTGAGCAGCACTTTATATAAACAAGCTCACACATCAGTCCCTGGAGGAACCTACCAGCAGCAACCGGATTCTCAAGCGTAAACATGATGAGGTCAGCCAAAGCCTGAGGCAGCGTGACATTGGCACATGCACACGTGGAGGATTCCCATTGTTATTCTCAGGATATTATGCCAGAAATGCATGCAGTAACCTCCCGAAGCGGATGGCAGAATTCCCTTATGGAATCTCTTAACTGGCAAAACATGTAGGAGTAGGTGTGATACGTGGAGCAGGTTAGCAGTTCACCTTAGAGGCAAAAGAAGTCTCAGAGTGATCTGTGAACACACCACCACCTTCCCTGCTACCTGTTCATCTTCTTCCCACCCTGTAAGCCCTTCCTATGCACAACGGAGACAAACCTCCACCGCAGCAACGGCCAGCGCGCTCACGGGGCTGCAAGTGCTCTGCTGGAGGCTCCTGCTTCCAATCAGGCAGAAAGGAAACTTGGATCCGAGTCTCTCTTCTTTTGTAAGACGCTCCAGCTATTACTTGCCTATTCCTGGGAGGCACCTTGGGTAGATTTTGATGAGAAATTCTGTCCAAGACCCTCAGACACCTTTTTCTAAACGGAAATTGTTTTCCTTTCCAAGCAGTTTTCCCCCAGCACATCGGTTGTTTGGATGCTGTATCTCTGGTAGGGGCACACAAACCCTATCAAACAGCGTAACAGAATCAAGACAATAAACAATCAAGATGGTTAGAGCTAGAGAGAAAAGGTGAAGCCTTTCAATTTTAATTCCTTAAGAATTGAATGGCAAGCAAAGCAGACAACAACAAAAAGTCACCTTATGGTTATGCTGTAGGAGCTGGACTCGGTCCCTGACTTAGGTGAGTGTCCTCCTTCCCTACTAGAACAAAATAAGTAGGCAGAATACACCCATCTGATGCAGCTGATTGGAAATACTGACGTTGTCCAACCCACAATCCCACAAAATGAAAAAAACATTGGGTGTTCAAGTTGAGAAGGGCACTGTTTTCAAAACAAAAGGTTCTAATTTGTTCTCCTTGTGAACCATTTCCATCACCCTCACGAGAGACAGGAGCGCTGTCCCAGCAGGGATGCCTATCCTTCCAACCAATACGTGGAGCACTTCTTCAAGGAGATGTAAAAGATGAAGTGATCGACATTTCTCATTTTAAAGCAGAATCTATTTTTATTCAACACAGGACAGTAAATGGATAAAATTCACAATAATCAGCATTAAAAAACAACAAACAAACCCTGCAGTCATATTTCAGTTTGGCTCTACCTACTGGTCACTCACATTTCCACACACAAAATTTTGTCAGTCTTGCTCATTTCCACGTTAATGGATATTGACACCCGACACTAACAAAACACAAAGTTTATTCACAACTTGGGGGAACCCTAGGGTTGTTAAGAAAGAGAAGCAAATCTTTTTATCTTTTTGTCCCACAGATTCGTAGCTGGGAGGAACTGAAATGCTGTGCATTAAGCAAGGAAAGAGACATCGGCACACTACAAATCCTACCTCCCCCCTACAATCGATGGAAGGAAGGACTCAGCCTGGCGCCTCCAATGCTGTCATCATCCCACACCCGAGTCGCTGCAGTGCAAAAGCTATCCAAATAAATAAATAAATAACAGCAGCAGCCCCAACAAGTAAAACATGTAAAATCCCAAACACAGTTAAATACCGTTACAACCTGTAACTATTAAATACAACCAAAAGCATTATATCCTAAGACTTCAGCCCATAGGGAACAACCTCTCAAAAACTGAGTGCAGCAGAGTTTAAGAGTTTAATGTGTTTCGATCAACTAGTACGTAGCTCCACACACCTTTTTGTGGGGAAGGTATTGACATGTTCGTCTAGGGAAGTCCTCCATCCCTCCCTCCTCACACAGCCATTGAAGTTGTGCCAGTACAGCTGTTTTGGGGTTGTAATGTTATTTTTCCCCCACCAGAGGCAAGACCAGTCCCCCTGGTCCAGCTAGCAGTCCCCCAGAGTCAGCCTGGCCGAGTGAGGGGCAGCGTGCCACGCCACCGGCACAGAAGCCCTTTCAAGTAACATTGCTGCAGAATTCTGTCGCATTTAACTACAGCCTCAAGCTCAAACACAGCACAGATTTACGAATGCACATGTTGAGTATCCCCACCGGCCTCAACAGGCTTCCTCAAAACGCGTGAAGTTAACCATTCATCCAGGTCACTGCAGGTTGAGAACCTACGCAGAGCATTCACTTGCAAAGACTTTGGTACCCTCCGTACGTCTTTGTGGGCCTGAGTTTTGTCCCCTGTATCTTTGTTCAGCAGAACAGTAAAAAACGAACACATTCTTATACTGTTCAAATGAAGCATAAAGCACGTGCTGAATCAAACCAGGTACGTAACTCAAAGACTGAATAATTACAAAACAGCCCTGGAAATGAGGTGTTGTGCCAGCACATGGAACACCACCAGCAGCTGCTGAGACATTTCTCCATGTTTCACAGGGCTATTTTATTAGTCTGCTGTTTTATTAATCAAGTGTAAAGACTACTGCATTGTTTCACAAAACTTAGAGCATAGCTCAGAACAAGACGTATGTCTAGAGCTTTAATAAATACAGTTAAGAATAGTTTAAATTATCTAGCCTTCATGATCTAAGTATAAACACCTTATACAAAAAAAATTCCTTTTATACTTTGTACATCCTAAAAAAAAAAAAATCACAGAAACATCTGTTTTGCAAAGGAGATAACTGTACAAAGAAACGATATGTTTTGAAGACATTAACTGTCTATTTGCTGGGTAACACTACTTACTGAAATGTCCTCTTAGAACCTACCAACTAGGTAATTTTTCTTTTCTGATATTTTGGCTCCAAATCTGAAATTCAGAGCCACTTGAACTTAGCCACTTGAAAGAGATTTCTGGTTATTAAGGCCCTGATCTGACAATGACTTCCACGTGCACACACCAGCACTGAAATCAGGGAGTACCCAACAGAGACCACAGTGGCAGCGAGCACTAAAGCAGCCCATCTGTTGAATCCCGTAGTGCTAAAGCACAGCAGCTCACAGTTCTCTGCCACCCCAAAGGAATCTCCTCTCATTTCAACCCAGCCAAGAGGAGCAGCACAACAATTACATGACGTTTGCACAACCAGTTTATAATGCCCTGAAAACCATTAGAGCCCGCCTCCCCTCCCTACCCCCCGCCCTGGAAATTCTGACTCATAATCCACTTTTTGTTGCTTAGGACTCTTTTTTGCACAATCCTAATTAAGGGCTAACATCCATCCAGAGAGTCCGAGAAGACTGCTAACCGTGGTACACTGCAACAGTAAATTCCATTTCATTACCTACCAAAAGGCTGGATGTTGTCCTTGGGATTACAAGTAGCTAAAACCTAATAATATGGTGAGGTTATTATTGTCTGAGCAGCTTCAAAATACTAATAGCAGTGCATCTTAATAATCAGCTGGTATTGTCGCTATAAAGTGATGCCCTCGATGTGCGCAAGATGACATAAGGGATACATGCTTTGCTCACTGACACTGGGACATTTCACTGCTAGACTGTTATGATTTCAACTTCCTTCTGCTCTAGTTCTGACTTGTTTTTGGAAAATACAGAGTTCAGCATTTTAATTAAAAACATCCTATCAAAAGAAATAAAAAGGCACTTGGTATTTCTCTTTGGCTCAGTTGAGACGCGTTGCAAAAAACCTTCCCAAAGTTCCAGTTTCTTCATCTGATGAATAGCTGCCATCCTGAGGTACTTATTCATGTGCAAAAATAAGAGCTTCAGGGATTTACCAGTTGTATTTCTCACATTGTTTCCAGTAAACGTGCAAAGTTCTTCACCAAACAGAATCTCTTAAACATAGAATAATGCATTCCATGAAGTTTGTTTTTCAGGGAAGAGCTCTGATCACTGGCACAGTCCTTATTCCAAATCCGGTCTCGTAGCTCAGTGTTCTTTAAACCTGGAAATGAACAGCAACCAGGCAGGAAAAGTTAAGGTGTGAGGGCTAACAGCCACTAACTTCAAAATGGAGGATCTATCCCTTGCCACGCGTTTTTCTATTCTCTGTCCGTTTTACTTCTCCAAAACTACAACCAAGGGGCTCAATTTATATTTTGCATATGCAAGTGTAACCAAGCGTAACCCCATTGATTCAGTGGATTATTTTTTTTTTCCCCTCAATTCAAAACACTGTAAACTCAATCACCCTTTCGGAAAAAGTTACACTTGAAATTATTAATAAACACAGAGCAAGCAATCAAGTACTTTCTTATTCCCCATGCGCATGCACAATGATGAAATCCAGGAAATTACATATTTGGGAAAAAACAAACCATAACCAAGAGACCGTGACAGAAATGGGGTTTCAGATACTTCTCAAAATAATATGTTCTAAAGAAAAATGTTCATGATTTGAAAACATCAAACTGACATTACTCTTTTGAAGCTAAATTAAAACATACAAAAATGGACATACAGAAACTGTAACACATTCAAGTCTACATCTAGGTAGTATGGGGCAAAGGCTTGGTAATGTGTTTTAAAACTGTTATTAAAGAGCAACAGCCATGCATAACACTTACAGGGTATGATCTGCATTACACCGAAGTTCCTTCTGAATAAGACGCAGTAAGAACTGTAAAAACAGCCACAGTATCTGTGTTAGTATCTATACAGCTATACCAATGAGCTAAGTTTCAGGATAATATGTTCATTGTTCTTTGAAGAGTTCCTCATTTAAAACATTACCCTGTAATGCTGAACTCAGTTAAAAAAAAAAAAATTTACAGACGTTCAGTCAATGTTTGGAAGAGGAGTTTTCACAATTAATCAGCAAGAGGAAAGTAATTTCCTTTTTGCAAGTGAGAGATCAATTTCTTTATAAAAACCAGCATGGCTTTCCAAAGCTGCTTTACCAGCAGACATGTAAAGAAACCAGCAGAGGGAACCCAAGACTTCAAGAAAACGTGGCAGATAGAAATTTTGGAGCCTAAAAGTATTTTAGCTGCTATTCTGAAAAACAACTGTGTGTGTGAAAAGCTTTAATCACACAATTAGTCAAGACAAGTAAAGTCAGTCACGTTTACTTGCCTGTGCAGGATCAGGACTTCCAAGTGCACTTTAAAAGGTGCACTAACATAGTACCCAGGAAAGTGATTTTACAAATAAAATTTGATGAAACCCATGTACATTAAAGACAGAATTAGAACTTCCAGGGTTCCTCACTGTAACAGTTTTCCTTATCCTCAGAGACTCACTGTTAGAAACAGAAGTTTCTTCACTATTAGAAGTATTGGTGTTTTAAGAAGTTAAACCTAACATTTCAGAGGTAAGGGAGAGGCCAAGAATGACAGAACTGAACACCACGTAAGAGGCTAAAGCCCCCCAGATATCTTTGAAGAAATAACATTTGAACACAGGCATCTGCATGCTGTACTGCAAAGAACAGGAAAAGAAGAACAAGAGTTACAAAAACCAGGATTTACTTCAACAGCACAGAGTCCACCCTCTCAAAAACAGAGCTTTACAAAAGCATTTTAACTGATGCCGCAAAGAAATGTGGGATTTTGTCACTTAGTTTTAATAAATAGCTACAAAAGAAAAAAAGCAGAACTTTAAGTCTACTTGGGAAAACTACAACAATCTCCCAAACCTCATTCTGCAGCATGGAATACCTAATACTGAAAACAGCACAAATCAGGATTTATAGAGCTGCTGACTACCAGTGGCAACATACTTCAACTACTAACTTACCTAATTTATTTACTTAATTTCCAGAGATTTCACATCTTAAATGTGGAAAAATTTACTTTAAGATTTGGGGTTTAATTTGAATTCAGGAAAAAAACCTCAGTCTTAACTCAAAGCAAGACTTTGTGCTCCCTTCGTGTCAAGAAAGAGTGGTCTGACGCACTCAGCATTAGCTCCTCTGCAGGAGCACATTGCTCAGTGCAATACCGTGCAGGCACGGGGCTTTGTCTGGGCACAGCCAGTGCGGAGGAAGGAGTATTCCTGAAGTGTTTCACAGCCAGCCTGCCCTGTCATGACTGCTTCCACCCAGGACTTCAAAAGGAGAGGACAAGCAGGTGACACTTCAAGACATCTCTCAGGTTAGTCATAGCAGCATTCTGCTCTGCTGGAGAACTAAGCTGGTACAGACGCTGTCCAGGGAAATCAGTCGCAAACGCAAAAACGTAACCTACAGGCTAACCTACAGGTGGGTGCAGCAAGCTGACTTCAAAGGTACAGCAAGACTTGCCTTGCCTCATCTTGTGTCTTCTTTGGTCTTTAAAGCAAAGCAGGGCAAGTCAGAAGTGAAAAAAAACCAAACCAAAACAACACACCCCACCTTTTCAGATCTTCCTATCAATCATAGAGGATCTCAGACAGGATTAAAAAGGAAAACGGATGTGCTCTGTACCAAGCCACCATGCGTGTGTTGCACCCCTTTTCCCTAAACATCTGTTCCTGATTACTGTCAAAAGTTAGGATGCCAGTTTTTCGTCTAACCTAGTACTGCAGTTTTAGGGCCCATCTGGAGAATCTGATTTATGAACTTTCAACAGCTTCATTACCGCAGTGCTTTTGGTGACATAGCAATACAGCAAAACATTTGTTACTGCTTCGCTAAACTGGCTTTAAAGAAAACAGAAGTAATTCTTCCGTGAGTGGAATCTGAGGCATCTTCTAGGTCTATATATGAAGGTTTACTTACAATTACACCTGCTGTAACCTGCTCAGCCAGCAATTAACAGATGTGTATTTGCTCAGAAATTGAAGTGCACCAGAACTAATCCGCACTTTTGATTAAAATTAGATGAGAATTTCAAAATGAGCAGATTTGCTCTTTAATTGAAAATTTTCTACACAATTGGAAGTTTCTTGTAAGACGGAATATTGAAATTGCAAAAGGAAAATTTGCATTTTAAGACAGTTTAGCACAAAGGAAATACATGGCAACTAAACAGTATTTAGACTTACTAGCAAGGCACATGCATCTGCCACCATGAGCATGTAAAACACGTTGTTCCAACCAGATGGGGAAATAAGACCAGCTAAGAGAGGCCCCACAGCCGCACCTAAAATATAATATTGATATTGTCAGAATGATGCAACCCAAGATTTACTATGCTGAGAGAGAGTTGTTATGAGTTAGAATACCAGTTTTTCAACCTAGTTCACTCAGTATTATGGTACGTATTAAAAGGTCCCAGCAAGTGCAAAACATTACTGGCACAGCTGCAAGCCAATGGGAAACCTAACACAGAGGAAGGTGGAAGACTAGCAGTTTGAGAAAAGCCTACTTTTGGCTCAACAAAATGCCCATCCAGTATAAAGCTGAATCCTACTCAAGTTTTTCCTTCCACTTACCAGCATGAAGGGCATGAATAAAATATCCTGGATCTCAGAAACGACCCAATGGCATCTACTTTTGCTGTCTGTGCTCAGTATCAGTCTATCACCCTCTTCCTCTCTCAGGTGTGGGACCACTAGAAAGGTTTAAGGCTAAGTTTGCTCTACTCCCCATTTCCAAAGCTGTATCAAGTCCTGGCAAAATGAGAATTGGAGAGAGGCTAGTTTCTCAAAGATGCTTAGTTTTAACCCGACCACAGCTAAAGCAGGCTACCTTACAGCTCAAGCAGGCTACCTTACAGCTCAGGCTTACCTACAGATCCTGTTCCATCGATGATTGCCGTCACTGTGGACAAGGCTCTTGCATTCCCTTTCAGGCTTTTATGGGTACCCTAAAGTGACAAAGACTGCTTAGACCCATCTGAACTCTGAAGAAGTCCTTACAACATCAGCAAGCTCACGTCCTTCCACATTAGATGTACATTGTGAAGATGCCTTCAATATCCTAGCTCAGACCCTTCTGTCAGTGCTTCAAGAAGCCTTCTACCTCATCAACCTGTTGCCTACAGTGTTCTCCTTTATTACATCATGTTATTCAAACCACAGGAGCCCAGAAGCTTTCTGTTCTGCACACTGGGGATTCAAGCAACAAGGACAGCACTTCAGCTTTGCGTTACGCTGCAAAGCTGTTTCCACAGCCCTCTTTTCCCCTGCTAATACAGCAAAGCTCTGTGGAACAACACAAAACAAAAAACCCAACCCAAAAACCAAAACAAACAAAAAAAAAGATCATTGCTGTGACAGGAATACTAGAGTACCAGAATTATGAAGATATACTGAAATGCTAATTCAGAGAATTCTTGAGCCAAAAGAAGCTGTTCAGTCCCAATTTTAAAAGCCAGGTCTTCAGAGCAAAACAACTGATAAAGGGAGTGACTTTGTAGAGAGACAGAAAAATTGAGTAGTTCAGAGACAGTACACTGAGGAGAACACAGCCAAGGTAATCAGCGATTTACATTTGCTTGTGTCAGATGTTTGATTGCTGTCATCCTAGGAACTGGTTGGCAGTTTCAACCCTCTTCCCAAGGGCCAGGTAGGGATCTTGCTATGTCATGCCCCACCTTCTAGCTAGCAGCCCCTTCAAAAAGGCTAAGAAGAAAATGAGCAATGCATGGTGGCCTTCTTTGTCTGGCCAAGACCTCAAGGTCAAGGACAGGACTCCAGAGCATGTTTGGAGATTTCTGTCCTGCTCCTTTTCTTATATTTAGAGCATTTGTTATTAGAGGACTTTTGCCCCTTCTTTGTACCTTAAGGAATGAGTACCTTTGAAAGCCACCTTCCAAAGCCTACCTAATGGAAGGTACCAGGGTCAATGTTTTCACACAACATTTGTGACAGACCAACCTGATCCAGCTGGAAGTGCCAGCAACCAGAGTAACAGTACAGAGACATGACAGAGGGGTAGCATGGAAAAAAGTAAGGGTACATGCCGTGTATAGCTTTCCATGCTGATGGAAATTAGGTCTCCAGCTCATCTCTCACACAGACACAGCCCCTCCCCTCAATTAAAGATGCGAAGTATAAAAGGGAAGAAGGCACCTGTACAGAGACTTGACCTTCCATGCAACCTTCACATTCACTTTGGGCTGTCTTGTTAGTAGGCAAGAATAATTTAGAGGCCTCTCACAAGCATAACACTCATTAATACATGAACTCTGAAACAATCTCAATGGCAGAGTTCAGCACTGCCTGTCCAGCTCCTTATCCCTTTGCTTTGAGACAATGCAGCCCCTTCACTGACAACCCTGCAGAAGTCAAAGGGCTCTCTCTGGAGGCCAAAGCTGTTACACTGCAAGCAGAGGGGAAGCCAAACTCACCAAGTCAGCAGAGACAGCAGTGGTGATCAGTGCATAAGGGCCATTCACCAGGGCACCACTGATAAGCAGCATCACTGTTGCAAATGGGACAAAAATGGAAAATATGAGTCGCCTGAATGACTGTTAACCATAGCAACAGGAAACATCGTAGCCTGTGGTTCTCAAATGGTTTAATCCTTCCTTGGCTTCCCTGGCCCCATCACACAATTGGGAAAGGAGGAAAAGCAACATGTATTTGTATCTCCCCGCAATGCTTACTCCATGACGTGAATTCTCAAATGTAAGAGGAGACAGGGCTGAGTCAAAAGGCACTTCCCAGGGCCTTTATTGATACTGGTAGGTCAGAGAAAGGGAAAAGTCTGACCAAATTGACCCTAAGAGCAGGGGATGCTTACAGGGACCCACCCATAAGTCCCTTCTCTGCTTGTACAGCACCAAGCACCAGAGGGCCCTAAACCGTAACAAGGCCTTTAGGTAAATGAGACACTACTGTCAGCACTTGCGTTTCAACTTTTGCTGTGAGGTAACAGATAGAAAGACACAAGTTAATTCAGACTAAACAAGTGAAGTTAATGTTGCTGTCAAAGATACTACAAAGTAGTCTTTAAACACTTCTGACATTGGGCACAGAGAATATAGTAAAGCCTGTGCTGACACAACAAGCTCCAGAAAGGAAGACTACTGATATAAATTAAGTCACTGTTCTCATGCCACCCCTTACTTGTTTCCTAGCCCTCTTCCTTACCCCATAAAAAGCCTGCAAGACAAGGACTAGGGAATTTGATTCCATACTTCCTCCTCTCAGGAAAAAAATAAAATTAAAAAAAAAAAAAAAAAGGGGAAAGGGGAAAGGGCATCAAAGGATCATAAATGAAAAGCTCACATAAAGGCAGGCAGAAAATGACTTAAAAATACTCACCTACAGTAGCCTCAAGGCCCATTTTACTGATAGCAGAGAACATGTACAACTGTAAAGAAAAAAACAAACACACTGAATACCAACATAGGTACTACTCTTAGGTTCCCTATTTTTCCCATGCTAACTAAAAAACTATCTATCTTAGTTGGGATGAAAAGTGAGAGTGAACGCTAGATCTAGCATCCTAGGTTTTACTAAGCCTTTTTAGACCACAGCAGGATGGTTGGTTGATTGGAAAGAGAAGGGAGGTAAGGGATGTGCTCCTAATTCCTCAATGTGTCCTTTCAGAAGAAAGGGCTGTGTTATGAGACCTCTCAATTTTAAACTCTCAAATTGCCAGCTTCAACACAGCACAGAAGACTGTTCACAAAAGAATCAAAACTTAAAGAAAAAATGCACCTCGTATGTCCAACTGCCACTTTACCAACAGAATCATAGAATCGTTCAGGTTGGAAAACACCTTCAATATCATCAAGTCCAACCATTAACCTAACACTGCTATCCCACAAATAAATCATGTCTCTAAGCACCCCATCTTTTAAATACCTCCATGGATGGGGACTCAACCACTTCCCTGGGCAGCCCGTTCCAATGCTTAACAACCCTCTCAGTGAAGAAATTTTTCCTAATGTCCAACCTAAACCTGCCCTGGCACAACTTGAGGCTGTTTCCTCTCGTCCTATTGCTTGTTAGGAGAAGAGACCGATCCCCACCTCACTACAGTCTCCTGTCAGGCAGTTGCAGAGGGCGATAAGCTCCCCTCTCAGCCTCCTCTTCTCCAGGCCGAACAACCTCAGTTCCCTCAGATGCTCACCAGCCTTGTGCTCCAGACCCCTCACCAGCTTTGTTGCTCTCCTCTGGACATGTTCCAGCGCCTCAATGCCCTTCATGTAGTGAGGGGCCCAAAACTGAACACAGTATTCAAGGTGCAGCCTCACCAGTGCCGAGTACAGGGGCATGATCACTTCCATGCTCCTGCTGGCCACACTATTTCTGATATAAGCCAGGATGCTGTTGGCCCTCTTGGCCACCTGGGCACACTGCTGGCTCATATTCAGCTGGCTCTCAACCAGTACATCCAGGTCTTTCTCCACCAGGCAGCTTTCCAGCCACTCTTCCCCAAGCCTGTAGTGTTACACAGGGTCGTTGTGACCAAAGTGCAGGACCCGGCACTTGGCCTTGTTGAACCTCACACGATTGGCTTTGGCCCATTGATCCAGCCTGCCCAGGTCCCTCTGCAGAGCCTCCCTACCCTCAAGCAGATCCAATTTGGAGTCATCTGAAAACGTATTGAAGGTGCACTTGATCCCCTTGTCCAGACAGTTAATAAAGATATCGAACAGAACTGGTCCCAATACTGAGCCCTGGGGAACACCACTTCTGACTGTCCACCAACTGGATTTAACTCCATTCACCATAATAATTACAGCACAGAAATTTTAATCTTTGAGCACCTAAAATTTTGGCCAGAATGGACACCAAAGACTGATAAAATTTCCATAGTCCTGTAATAGGCAATGCACTAGACTTATCTGCTTGTTTAGTAAAGGCAGGCCCAACATCTACACTTGCTCACATGCTCAACTTGCCAGTTTTTAACCTGGCCTGAACTCCTTATATCCAAGCTAGAAGATGCTGTTTGCAGAACTTCCCAAGGAATGCTGTCAAAATCCTAGCTGCATCTTTAAGAGAGGGGCAAACTCTTACTGTGGGTGCCGCGAGCAATAACATCATTCCGCAGGTTGATGCTCTTTTCTCCAGCCTGTCTGAAATAAGGCCTGCCAAAATTCCACCTGGAAGAGGAGAGATATGTGTGAGGAAAACATTCTGTGCATGTTTTACACAAAAGACACCGGTTACGCTTAATGAAAACCAACCCAGACTTTTAATGTACAGTTATACATAGCAGCACAGAGCATGAGACTGACAACATAATTCGCACTTAGCAATATCCTTATTAACACAACCGGTTTTGACTTGGAAAATAACAGAAGCAGACAGTTGTTCTTCCTCATTGTTTATGCCAACCAAATATCCAAGATGACGGGGCAGGGGCGGAACAGAGGTGGAAGAAATATTTAGAAATCATTGTTCGGCTGCTTTTGAATGCAAAAAGCCTTTTCACCAGGTGCCGCGTGGCCCCACTGCTGGCGCTCTGGAATCCAGCTGTGCCCAGCTACTCACTGGTCTCAACTCCTCACATGCAACAATAGACTTGGCTGTGTCCATGTCACACTGCAACTGGGGGGAAATGAGCTATTCTAGATCTTGGGGCAAATGAAATATTTTTCTCTCCAGGCAGTCACCTTTTACTGTTCCCTACTTCTTGTGTTTGCCAACAACTGTACACAGAAGTACTAATCAGTGTGTGGCAGGAGGGGGCTGGAAGGCCTGAGGGAAAGACCTGCCAATATGATATAAAGGGACCTTGGTAAGGGGAGGAGAGGAAGTTCTCTGGATTCTGCAGATTCCTAAATATCACTGGGCCTACCTCTACCTTCCAAGCTGCCCATCTCCAAAGTGCTCACTTGAATTTAAATGTAAATGCCAAATGTCTAAGCAGCACTTAGTACCTTGTTAAGATTGTATTCACAGTGGAATAAGATATTGCTGAAAAGTCACCCACATCTCTAAGGCACTAACACCTCTGGCTTCCAGCTATCTGGGATGCAATGAGAAATAGCAAGTGTCACATCCAGCACAAGTCTGGAACAGTAACTGCAACACACCTTGACACCTGCATCTTGAACTACCAGAATTTACATAGCTCTTGATCCAGTATTCTCCAGCATGAGCATCATTTTCCAACAGACTGATATAGGGCTTATTTCCGTAAGTGGGGGAGTGGAGGGGGACAGCGGGTCACACAAATCAGTTGGGCATCAAGATGACAATTCTAGTTTTATTGTGAGCTATACTGTCTGCACTGGCATAAAAAAATTTAATTATTCAGTGGTCACCTCACAAATTGCAAAGGAATAGTCTCATCCTCATTATTATTACAATCTCCCAATTTTATCACATTCAGTTATATGAAACATCAAGAAAAAAAAACCAAAACACAAAAACCCCTATGGCCATTCACCTCTGTGCCCACAAAAAAATACACAACTGTACAAGCTGGGATAGTTCTGTTATGTTAGAGTGATAAAAGGAAGACATTTTGTCAGGTTGCATGATCAAGACTCATGGGCCAGAGCTGATGGAGCTAAAAGATTCCACAATATTTGGCTCTTACAGTCTGTGCTGGACAACATTGTTGGGTCTGTGAATTGTTCAATCTATAGATATTTTGCTAGATTTTCAACAACCAACCTGGATCCCAACTTAATACCTTTACTGCCAGTCTTCTTCAGTGGACATAAGGCACAAGTACTAATAATACATGTAAGCTGTGCGTACCACAGCTTTTCCTAAACTGGTCTGATTAAAGATGAAGTATTAATATATAAAACTTACCAAAGATTCCACCCACATCAAACAGTGTAGAAAGGTCCCCAGCTCTTTTGGCATCAAGATGTTCTAGTAACAGAAGAAAAACATTTGTCTCATTTCCAGACTACAAAATGTGGATATCTCAACACAGTCTTGTCATGCTAGGATAAAGGCATCTTATGGCAGTATTGTCTGGTCACAGGAATAAGCTGTCATTGTATGTAACAAATACAGATTGTATCATAACGGGGTATTCAGGGATACAGTCTTTTGAATGCAATTACATTCACGGCAGGACATTTTACCACTTTAACTATAGACAGAGTCCAAGGAATAGAGCTGTCGATTGTTAAAGTCTGGACTAACGATATTCCCGTTAGTGAATAGCTACAGATTCATAAACAGTTAACAAATGCTCATGAGACTCTGCTCTAAAAGCATGATCAGCGTACATTTAGATGACTTGTACAGCCTCATCCTGGGGGTCTGCATCACATGACCAGTAACATTCATCATTAAATTACGTCTGGCAACACACGCACATGCTCTTGGCACAACATGCACTGTGCAGTTCATGGGGACTATGAAGAGACAGTGATTTCCTTAAATCCACTGTTTGCCATGGGCAGTGAAGACCACTGTTTGCACATACTTACATTTAGTCTAATGTAGTTACTGATACGCTATGGGAACAGATTTCTGAAAGTAAATCAGAAAGTTGGGAAACCCAGCCCTATTGTGTTAAGCGTGAAATTTCAAAAGGAGCTGAATTTCTAAACCCCTTTGGTATTTTTTTAAAGTCTCTGAAATACATTTGAAAGACCAGTATGTGCTAAAACAGTGGTGTCAGTGGTGCTACCATAACCTCACCGACCTCTGCAACAGCACAGGTGGCAGTACTGTGGTAAATACCATTAACCTTCCTATTAAAACCGTGCTGCTTTCAAGGTACCCAGTCCTGCAGGAGCAGTGGTTATTTGAGTCCAAAGACAGCAGCCTTTAGCTACTGGATTTGCAGCGCTATGTGCCTTCACAGAGTGCTCAATCTGTGTGTCTCTGCTGGTTGTTACTGCCACACTTGTCCAGCACAGCTTTTTTTGTTAGCTAGGGGTTTAAAGGTCACATAATGACTCACAAGAACATTAATTTCTCTGGCTAGGGAGAACTCCTTTCTCTGCACTCTACAGCACAAACAAAAAACCAATACCAAACAGATAAAGAAGCTCATTTAGATTTTTTGTGTATGTTTCAATAAGGCACTTCAATCATGTAAAATCATTATTAGAAAGTAAACCTTTTTGATAGGTTTGCAATAGCCAAAGGCACAGTGTTTATCCTCAGAATTGTTGAAGATAAGCCAGATTCTTTTTTTGATTGTTTTGAAAGTGTCCTCTCATAATACTGAATTCATAAAATTGAGAAATGTTCATTGGTGTCTTACAACTCTCCTGCTACTGTATCAAAGATAGCCTATTTCAGAAGCAGTAATGTTTATTTTCTTATTTATTTCAAGCTCTTATTTCCAGACACCCTGTAGTCATAATTCTGTATCCCCTTACTGTGATACTTACCTACATTTGTGATATAGAGGGGAAGCCAGAAGAGGAAGGTATAGCTCACCAGCTTTGCAAACAGAAGACAAAGGGAGAACTCTATGACTCCCTGATAATAAAGAAAATAGGAAGTTAGTATCTTGACAGGGGCTGCTATTTGCTTTCAAAGACCATTATGAAAATGGTTTCTAGGAAGCATTTAGGCTTTTCTTTTTCTCTCAAGAATTCCCAAAAAGCTTTTTTCCCCAGAGAGCACAAAGCTTACAATGAGAACAGACTGGGGTATTTTACTTATGTGTTTTCTCTTCTTTTAATTGCACTGAATTGAACAAAGAGAGAACACTAAAATGAACAGGAAGGTTTTGGTAATGTTTGGGACACCTGAATCACTTACTTTCCTTGTGCAAAGAGGTTTTATATACCATTCTAGAAGGTTTGGAGTGTATTCCAGAGAAATTGGCTGATTTTTGTGTTATTTAGATCCTTCTTTCAGATGGGTCTAAGATTTCTTCCTTACTGTGTAATTCTTTACAAAAAGCTACCTAACCAGCATGGCACCGTTCAAATCAGTATGTGGTAAGAGTACGCTACAGACAGGGCATACGCCTATTTAAAATACTAATTTGTTCCATCCTCTTTCCTGCTGGGTACATGAGAACTATGCTTACTGCACAGAGCTGCAGCTAAACTGCCAAATTAACCTATTTTCATTCCCCTCACCATCTGATATCATTTTCTTTGAAATCACATTTTTTAAATCGTTGGTACAGAGCACTCAGTTGTCTGCATGGACAACACATGCACACAGCTGGCTCTACTTCACATACAGCTGTGACACTTCCCAACAGCAGGCAGGAAAAATACCACAGTTACAGAGATTCCAGGTGGCGGCAGCAGCAGTTTTTCTACCATTACTTCCACTTGCCACAGGAAAAACAGATGAGACAGAGGATCAGACTGGACAGGCCAAGAAGATGCAGGAATAAGTGGGTGGGTGCTGGGAATTCCCTCCACTACATTTACACCTGGTCCAAATCAATTTGCATAGAATTCTACTTGTGCGACCTACTGAAGCTGCTGGGCTTCAAGCTGAGAGGGCAATCAAGGATGACAGTCCCTGACTTAAAGGAAACTTCCTTTCCTTTTATCAGCAGTCCAAATGTTTGGGCTGCCTGAAACTACTCAATATGAGCCATACAAGAGATTTTAAAATTAAAGCTTTTAAAACCAATGTTGAGGAGTGTGAAAGGGAAGCCATGCAAGGAAGTTCTGAAGTGCTTATAGACTCATCCTGCTATTCCATCTTTAATAACAATATGTCATTAACTAAGACCAGTAAACTTTTAGAACAGACTTTAGTACAGAATTCAGTATTTCAGTTCGAAGGGACCTACAAAACTGTCTAAGTCCAACTGCCTGACTTATTCAAGGCTGACCAAAAGTTAAAGCCTGTTATTAAGGGCGTTTTCCGAATGCCTCTTAAACACTGAGAGGCTTGGGGCATCGACCACCTCTCTAGGAAGCCTGTTCCCGTGTTTGACCACACTCTTGGTAAAGAAATGCTTCCTCCTAATATCCAGCCTAAACCTCCCTTGGCACAGCTTTGAACCATTCCCAACATGTCCCATCACTGAATCCCAGGGAGAAGAGCTCAGCACCTCCCTCTCCACTTCCTTTCCTCAGGAAGCTGTAAAGAGCAATGAGGTTGCCCCTCAGCCTCCTTTTCTCCAAACTAGACAAGCCCAGATTCCTTAGCAGCTCCTCACGGGCCATGCCTGCCAGCCCTTCCACCAGCTTTGCTGCCCTCCTCTGGACACATTCAAGGACCTTCACATCCTTTTTAAATTGTGGGGATGTCTTGGTTTCTGCTGGGACATAGTTAATTTTCTTCCTAGTAGCTGGTATAGTGCTGCGTTCTGGAGTTAGTACTAGAAGAATGTTGGTAACACACTGATGGTTTAGTTGTTGCTGGATAGTGCTTAGACTGGCCAAGGACTTCTCAGCTCTCAGCTCTGCCAGGTGCACAAGAAGCTAGGAGGGAACACGGCTGGGACAGCTGAGCCAAACTGACCAAAGGGGTATTCCATACCATATGACGTCCTGCTTGGTATATAAGCTGGGGGAAGAAGGAGGAAGGGGGGACGTTTGGAGTTATGGCGTTGGTCTTCCCAAGTCACCGTTACGCGTGATGGAGCCCTGCTGTCCTGGGGATGGCTGAGCACCTGCCTGCCCATGGGAAGCAGTGGATGAATTCCTTGCTTTGCTTTGCTTGCGTGCGCGGCTTTTGCTTTCCCTAGGAAACTGCCTTTATCTCAACCCACGAGTTTTCTCACTTTTACTTTTCTGATTCTCTCCCCTGCCCCATTGTGGGGGGAATGAGCGAGCGGCTGTGTGGTGCTGAGTTGCCAGCCAGGGTTAAACCATGACAGGGGCCCAGAACTGCACACAGCACTCCAGGTCAGGCCGCACAAACACTGAATACAGCGGGATAATCACCTCTTTCGACTGGCTGGCTGTGCTGTGTTTGATGCACCCCAGGATGGGGTTTGCCCTCGTGGCTGCCAGGGCACACTGCTGGCACTTGAGCCTGCTGTCAGCCAGCACCCCCAGATCCCTTTCTGCAGGGCTGCCCTCCAGCCACTCCTCTCCCAATTTATGCTTGTGCCCAGCGTTACTGCATCCTAGATGCAGAATCCAACATTTTGACTTGTTAAACTTCCTGCCATTATTCATCGCCCAATGCTCCAATCAATTTAGGTCCTTCTGCAAGGCCTCTTGTCCCTCAAGAGAGTCAATAGCACCTCCCAGTTTGGTATCATTGTCAAATTTGCTAATTGTGCATTCAATTCCTGCACCCACATTGTTGATAAATATATTGAACAGCACTGGCCCTAGAATTGAACCCTGAGGAACGCTGCTGGTGACCGGTCGCCAGGCAGATGTAGCCCCATACCCTACAACCCTTTGAGCTCTGCCCTTCACCCAGCGCACCGTGGACCCACAGTTGGACAACTTGGATGCTGTGAGGGACAGTATCAAAAGCCTTACTAAAATCCAGAAAAACTACATCCACTGCCTTCCCTTCATCTGCTAGGTGTGAGGCCTTATCATAGAAGGATATCAAATCAGTTAAACGGGACCTTCCCTTTGTGAACCCATGTTGACTGATGATTGTGTTATTCTTTAATAGTACCCAGTATAATCTTCTCCATAATTTTTCCAGGAACTGAGGTTAGACTAACAGGTCTGTAGTTCCCTGGGCCTTCTCTCATGCCTTGTTTGTAGACTGGAATAACACTGGCTGGCTTCCACTCAGCAGGGACCTCCCCAGACTCCCAAGGCCTTTGGTGGATCATTGAGAGGGTTCCTGCCATAACACCCGCTAGCTCCTTCGGTACTTTGGGATGAATCCCATCAGGCCCCATGGACTTGTAAACATCCCTTACAATTTCAGTGTCCACAAATGGAAACTCACTGTTCCTGCACTCATGGTCCTCTGACTCAGGGGACCAGGCAGCCCAATGTCTACCAATATTATTAAAGACTGAGGCAAAAAATGTGTTTTACATTATAGGCTGCTCTAGTATTAGTTATAATGATAAAAAAATATATTTTATATATGTATTATCTATATAATATATATAAACATATAATGATATAAAAAAGGAGCAGTTTATATGGGTACTAGAGCCTAGATACTTGTCGTTTCTAAGACGCAACCAACGAACCTATGCCATCTGCTCACTGGGAAAGAAAGTACTCTTGTATCTATTTTCACTCCTCCTCTGAGAGGGGCACACCTTGTCTTGTGTACCAGAATCATAGAATCACTTTGGTTGGAAAAGACCTTTAGGATCATCGAGTCCAACCTTTAACCTAACCCTGACATCCCACCACTAAACCATGTCCCTAAGCACCT